GCAATGTCAACGGGATAGCAACCAAGTACCCGTAAAAATGTTGCATGTTCCTATGTAATGTTAGAACACAACATTAGAAGAGAAACCTCCGATGGAAAAAATAATTGGGGTTAAGTTTCATTAGACCCAAAAGCCTATGATATTCTTAACACTCTTTCGTGGGTGTACTCAAAAAACTAATTTGATTTACAAAGCCTTCCAAATGAATTGATCATAACGTTCAACAACAAACCTGCAAATGCCCCAAGACAAGTTGAGCACGTGGTTCGGCCATAGAAGCTTCAAAATCAATGTAGAACAAGTAGTCAAAGTACCTGAAAACGTTGAAAATTGAAGGGATTCATCAATCCATACAGACATTTGAGACACATTGTGCTGCAATAACTATTAGTGAAGACCTTTCGGGGCCTGCTAAAGGTATACTGCAAAACGACAATGATAATGATACATACTTGGCAGTACCCATGTTAGAGTCATCCACTACTCGTAAGGGGCAATTTCTTTGCGGTCGACTTTCAATCTAGTCGTGCGTGCAGAATTCTCATCAGTTTAGAGATAAATGGTACAAAACCAAGCTTTTAGAGAAAATTAAATTTTATTCACAGATTGATGCAGCAATATACCTTTGTCAAATTTATATCTCTTAGTGCAAACAACGCCAACACTTTGAACAAGACTCCAGGTCCTTCATCCAAAGTAAATACAATGCTTGTCTGCAACGAATAGAAGATTTGACTTCCAAGATTAATATAAGCTACGAGTTCAACAAATATGAGGCATTGTGATCAACACGTATGAGATTGTGGCTTACTCTATAGGGTCTATCAGTTCTTGGAATGATTGGTTCCCTTGCAAGTACCAGATAACGAGTCACGTTACCTAAATCATCCTTAAGCACATAATTTTATTTAAGACCAGCGATGACCAAGTATATTAATCATATGTTAAGATGAGATGAGAACAAAAAGAAAACTAGAAAGAGATAAAATATTTACCTGGATTCCTTCTGCAAGTATGTTTAAACCATATAAGTCTGCAGCACGAGCACCGGCCACAACTCCAGCATCCCTGAGGTTGTTCAACGCTACATACTAGATACAAAATCAAGATGGACAGCCTGTTTTAGAAAATAAACCAAGTAGAAGAAAGTTTGTAATTGGAATTTAAACTAACATATATGAACCTGAGCTGCACCAGCAGTATCATCAACATTTTCTCGGACAACACCCAACCTATTCAGCGCATTATCGCTCAAGGAAAGTGCCTGTCCAAACCAACACTCAAATATCATTGATTTTTCTAATGACAACACGTCGGTACTTTTTACTTCCAAAAACTCACTTCATTTTCATAATAATACCCAAATTCAAGGATATGATGCAATAGAGCAAACAACAGGAATAACTTCTTTAGAGGCCGGTGCAAGATTGAATGCTAGACGTTCATGTGTCGTGAATATTCTATTACAATGACTACCATGTGAATAAAACACGTGAGACTGCAGTTATAAAGAAGTAAGACAAGGATGGAATGGAAGTCTACGCTTAACCTGTGGATGACTAAGAACACGTTTCAACTGTTCTGCTCTCACACCTGGCAGAGCTAGAAGGCAGAGGTTGGTGGTTATCTGCACTTCACCAACAATATGTAGCCTGTGCCGAAGGAGCAAATCATAATTGCGATGGATGCTCCCACCTGATGAATTTTCAATCGGAAGAACAGCTTTATCAGCTATCCACAGTTCAACAGCCTGCAGAGAAAAAAAAGTTATGACAAAGTATTAGTGGAGGACTTGAATTAAGTGAATTGAAGGCAAGTAAAGTCAAGACCAGTAATGTGGTCTACAATTTTCAATAATCACATATGATCTTTAAAAAACAAAACATCACAGTGAAATAGGTTAACCCACCAAGGAAAGCAGTTCTACATGTTATTTTATTTTAGCAGATAGACTAATAAACCTTGAATGCATCTTCAAACTCATTACAAGGAACACTTTCACAATTAGGGTATGCTGCAAGTGCTGCATCCTCACTATGTGACCCTGGCAACCCCTGCATTGTTAACTCAACAAATGAGAAAGAGTAGATAAAAATTACAAAATATATTGATGGGTTACTAAAAGATAAAACTGATTGGAAGCTGAAAAATATTTGATAAACAAAGGTCGAAACTCAGTTAAAAAAGAGAAAAGGGCATAGATTCAATAATATAACTCATACCTTAAATGATATCCGAACCTTCTTATTATTATCTGGATAAGCAGACTTACTTGACACTGATAATGGTCCTGCAACCATTTATATAAAGTGAAAAAAAATGCATTAACAGATGAAGGAAAAGTTGCCAACAGTTTAGCCAGTTTAAACTTACGTCTATTGACCAAAACATGACAGGTTAAAACGAAAAGACAGATGATAAGGAAGTAGAAATCGACTAGCTTGAAGAAACTGAGTGGTTGCATTAACTTGCTGTTACTCAAAGTGTGTGCAAAAGTTTATTTGATCCTGAAGAATTGTTTTGCAAAAATACATTTCAGTTACCATCTGATTCTGTTAATTCTAATCACCATGTCTGTTGCTCGAGTAATTTATTCATGCCAATGGTCGCATTCTCACATCGGTTTCAAAATTTTTCCCAAACACGTCTGAATCCTCTTTGATTTGGATTCGGGCGAGATTTTACCCAATAATTTCAACCATTGACCTTCATGTAAACTCGCATCCTAATAACCATAGTAATTCTACATCTTTACTCTTTGAAATTTCACTAAAAAGAAACGGTCGACTTCTGAAAATGTTATTACAGATTCAGAAGTATCTCCTAATGTGCATATTGATAGAACCATAGATAACTTCCATATCACGAATCGATTCAGAGAAACGATTTATACAACATCAAACAACCACGGTTATTGATTCAATACCAAAAGCATTCCGCATATTCAACAATCTGAATCGCAAAACTTACTAGCAAGGGGCGCGATATCCTTATTCGATCTCCAAACGCTATTGCCGTCCGGCTGCTCAATGGACGGCTGTAACTCCGTGGTTCGATTCGGCGGCTTCTCAGCCTCAATGGAGCAAGTCATCGGAGAAGCCGGCAATCCTAAAACTCCACCTCTCGATTCCAGCTTCAGCGCCACCGCAGGCTGCGGCGTCTTCGGTATCAGGCTCCACAGAGACGAGGCATCCCCCAACGCCATACCGCTCGCAAAATTCATCATCAAATTTCGAGTACCGATTTGGAATCGGTTAGGAAATTTCTTGAAGAAGAAGAAGACCAAATATGTAAAATATCCAGGAAGAAGTTAGTAGGTGAAGCAAACTTGATCTGAGCAACACGTTTCCTCTGTAGAATTGACTTCAATTTTCTTTGCTCTCTTCTTCATTTTTCCTCACCGGCTTGGCGAAGTTGGGAGAGTTTGTTTGAAGTTTGAAAAGGCTTTTTATATACGTGGTGGCAATGAAACTGCCTTCATGTAGGAACCGTGGTTTTAAAACAGAGGGAATGGAGGCATGCGTCTGCAGCCGTTGATTATGATGACTTTTACGCCTGGGAGGCGTTGACTATTCTCCTTCGCTGTCCTGTCATGGTTTGTTGATATATATATATATCTGTAACAAATAAAAAACAAATTTTGTTTAGTGGACGGATTGTATCAATCCAAATCGATCGGGTTGGTAAGGAATTTATTATTATTATTATTTTATTTTATTTTAAAATATTTTTTAAAAAGTAATCATTTCAATTCAATGTAAAATATTTGAATATAGTAAATTTCGATTTAAATCCTATTTTTGTTAATTAACTTAATATTCTACTTTAATGGGCAATTATTTTAATTTTTTAATTTTTTTTATAATTAGTTAATCAATATTTTTTTAAAAAAAATTGATTAAATTTTACAGGAATTTATTAATTTAAAAATAAATGATGTATTATAGATTTATTAAATAAAAAATTATAAATTCAATGTATATGGGTACTTTTTATATTTAGAAATTTATTAAATTCAAACTTGACATTTTAGAAATTTCTGTTAAAAACTTATACACTAATTTAAAAATGAGATAATTAATAAGATACGGTTTAATAATATTTTTCAAAGATTTTATTCACAAGTAATAGAACCTAAAATAAAAATTAACAACTAAAATAGACCTCCCTCCAAACTTCAATAAACAAAAATAATTGATTTTTTTTTAAAAAAATCTAAAATAGAATTTAAGCATAAAAACGTATATTCATCTATATAAACATAACTTAGTGCAACAAGACAAGATAAACCTAATTTTCTAAACTAAACTATAATATTTAATGTTTAAATGTTAAATTACATAAATAGATAAATAACAAATTAGACTGTCATAATTTATTATAGAGAATAAAAAAAAAAAAAAAAGGAGATTAATCTAATTGGTCGATCCAACCCAAGCAATGACACTGTATGACATCAATCTAAAGTCAAAATGCTTTAGAATTCATAATTATTTTAAATTAGACTTTACCTCTATTAATTATGATATTTAGCCCCTAATTTTTTTTTGTTTTTGTTTGTGGTCTATCTAAACACATAATAAGGTTTGTGACATTTCATTTAAATATTATTATTATTATTATTATTTTAAATTTATTTTACCTCCCCTTTTAAACCGACGTGGGATCTTACAATGTAGCTAACATTCTCACTGCACACTGCCTAATGTCTGATTCTGATACCATTTGTAACAACTTAAACCCATCACTAGTAGATATTATCTATTTTAGCCCGTTACGTATCGTCGTCAGCCTTACAGTTTTAAAATACGTCAGGAGAGATTTACATACCCTTATCAAGAAAGTTTCGTTTTTCCTCTCAAACCGATGTGAGGCCTCACAAATTTCAATCTTCTGTGGCTAAATCTTCAGCCGAAGAATGCTCGATGCATAGACATCGGTTCTCAGTTCTTTCTACCTGCAGGCTGCAACAGAAAGACAAGGATTCAAGCAACATGAAGTATACACATAAACAAGCTGTTCTCTGTATATTTAACCTGTTGATTTGAAGGGAGTACAAAGCTGATAAGAATAAGGGTTATAAATCATCTCTTTATTTCTATCTCAGCTGAAACCAACAATATGAAAGCATTAAGAGCTCTAAACTACAACACTAACACTAAATCATCAACACAAGCATTTACAGTTTAAACAGAGTTTGCCCTGAATCCATTCCTTGAGCATTGTCTTATCATAACAAGTCCTTTATAAACTCAAGGTTTAACGTGTCTTTGATGATGAGGAACAGCCCAAGAAGTACGACGAGCATGATCCCAGACGACATGATTTGCTGCTCGAGTTCTAACGGCAGCTTTCTCCCTCCCCTTGCAGCTTCAATGAGGATCAAAGCCAACGAACCGCCATCCAAAGCTGGCAAGGGAAGAAGGTTTATAACAGCAAGATTAATGTTAAGCACAGCTGCAAATTGATAAAGCCCATCAATGTTGGACCTAGCCACTTCTGCACCAACAGCAATAATGGCCACAGGACCAGAAACCTTACTAGCTGACTGAGAGAAGTTCAGAAATGTCTGTTTCAAGCTATCCAAAACCTTATATGACAGACCCAAAAATTCCCTTTTAGAATAACTAAAAGCCTCCAAGAAATTCTTGGCTACAACCTTTGAAATCTTTACATTTGGTGAAAGCTGAACCCCAATTCTTCCTGTTCCATCAAAACTCTTATCCGGGGTGACCCCAATTTCAAGATACTGTTTCCCTCTTTCAACTTTGAGAAGAACAGTTCTATTGGGGCTTCTTTTAATTGCCTCAACGAGCTCAGACACTGCTTTAGAAGCCAATTTTGGCAGTTCATCTGCATTAACAGCAAGAATCACATCCCCAGGAAGCAGCCCATCACGGGAAGCAGCTGAAAGGGTTAGAACCTCAGGCACTAGAACACCAGGAAATGGCTCTTGAACAGGCAAGCCAACCGATGATACTTGAATTAAGATAATTAGATAAGCAAAGATTATATTGGCAACAACACCAGCAGAAATCACTATCACTCTATCCAATATCGGTCTATTTTTCAGCAAATTTTCGTCGTCTGCTGGAATATCACTCTCAGGATCATTATCAGGAAAACCCACAAATCCACCGAGAGGAAATGCCCTAATGGAGTATTCTACATTGTTTTTGTTGAATTTTGCGAGAATTGGACCAAATCCGATTGCAAATTTACTTACATGGATGCCCTGTAGACAGGCGGCGAGGAAGTGGCCACTCTCGTGAACAACAATGATGGCTGTCAACACCGCCGTCGCCTCCAGTACCGACGGAGCACTTCCAATATCGAATCCGGCGAAAGCCCATGGTCTGAAATCGCAACTCCTCCGACATGGGATTCTGCTCTTTTCCCAGAAGATTTGGTGTCTGTTCTTGAAACTAAGATCCGGCGAATTGAAAGAATGAGATAAGAAAGAAGAAGAAGAAGATGGGGATTTGGAGAAGTGGGTTCTTGACTTGGAATTGGGTAGCTTGATAACAGAACAAGAAGAGGAAGACAGATTTAATAGCATGATTTTGAAAGTTCGTTTAGGGTTATGAGGATTGACAGAGATTTAGCGAGAAAATAGACGAAGATGAAAGAATTGGAGAAGACATAGGCTTTGGATAACACCTTTTTCAAATTTGTGGAGGGGAAGCGAGAGAAGTGTTTCCTCTTTTCCCCCTCGCATTTGTGTGTGTTTTTTGAGGCGCTTATGACATTTGAGGCCTCCGTCTCCCGATGAACGTGCGATCCTAACATACAAAAATAAAAATAAAAAATGGAAAAAAAAGGTAAAAGAAAATTTAAAGGAACATATTTCATAATTATTCTTTCTACTTATTTCAAATAGTGTTCGATATTATTAAAAAATAATAATTAAATAAGAAAATCGAGCTCGATGTTGTTGTCAAGGTGCAACCATTCCTCGGCTCAATTGCATCTCCTTCCTCGATATTTTCATTTGCGTCACTCGATGTCTTTCTAAACTTCTGTTTGTCTTGGTCGCACCATTGATTTTCACTGACGTCTAGTCGTCATCATGCTGCTTGATTGACACTAATAAGTTGTTCTTCCTCTAATTTGTTTTCCCTCCATTTGTAAACAGTAGTAGCACGATTGTCACATTCTTGTGTCACTAACTTCGTCATTAGGTTGTATGCATAACCACCTTTATTGTCCTTTGCCATCGTGAATCGTTGTGAGGGGAATAGTAGACTAGCCATTGGAGACATGGACCAAGCGAGAATGAAACGATCTCATTCGAATAGGTTTAGTGGTTTGATTCGTGATTAGTTCAATTCAGTTTGATTTCATTTCATTTTTTTACTGGTTCAATTGTTTACCCGATCCACCTCCGATCTAGTGGGTTTTTCACCAATTTCAGTTTAATTTGGTTGGTTCTTCATTTCTTATTGATTCTGGGTGAATATTATTGAGGTAAATGATGTTCTTATTAGACGCTCTGAATGATGTATTGTTTGTTCTTTGATCGTTATGGTGGCTATGTCCAACTCAAAATATTATGGAATCTTTTGCATACATTGAAAGATAGAAATGACATAAAATAAACTTTTGTAGAACCAATGGTATAGTTTACATGGGAGACGAATGAGTAAGAATTTATAAGAATATATATTTATAATTATATACCAAAAAAAATAGTAATTAAACTATAAACTCATATTACAAGGGAATTGAAAAATAAACTAAATTTAATTATATTATTTATAAATTATAATGTAGAATGCCTTTTGATCTTTTATGAATAAAATATTTTTATATAAAACGTGACAGCACAAGTTGTTAATCATAGCATTTAAAATTAATTATTCTTAAAAAAGACCGAGAATAATCTAAATAAGTCTCGTTTTAAAAATATTTACAACGGTTCAAAAAATATCTAAAGAAAAAAATTAATTTTTAACAAAACCCTAAATTAAAAAAACATGTGGTGTTCAAGAAAACAAGTTTATGGAAGAAATCTAACTTCCCCTGAATTAAATTTACATATAATTATCTCACAATAACATGCATGCAAAATCTATTATTTTGGTCGTAGTTGATTTGAATTGAAAGTCGGTAACAATCTCAGCATGTTTTAATGAGCTCAAACGAAGTAGTAATCTAGTCCAATAGCGGGCCGGGATTTGAAACAAAACTAAAATTAGATTTGAAAGAGAATTAATTACCCAAAGAGAACGAGCGAAGCTGCAAAATTTGTGACGAGATATTGACGCGGCTCAATCAGAAAACACACGGCAAACCAATAACAACAATTTTAGCCATGTCTTTCAAATTGAGACGCATCAATACCTTCATCGCAGTTTCAAAACCCATCTTCCGCCGTAAGCCTCTTTAATTTCAATCCACCGTTCTCCACGCGCCGCCGTGCATCTTCACGGGCCGTCACTTCGGCGCTGGCCTCCGAAACTCTTCTTTTGAATTGGGAGAAACTGATACCCTTCCCCTTCGCCCAGTTTCTTAACTTTTATACACGGAACTGTCTTTGTATTTATGTAAGTTTATTTATTTATTTTTAATTTCATTAAATTAATAAAAATACTTCGTAAACAACCTTTTATTTCTAAAATACTCTTAAAATTTTATAAAAAAATATAAAAATATATATTTATTTTTAATTTTGGATAACAGTTAATACTATATTTTAAAATAATTTTATCACGCTTGACTTTTGAAAAAAATTAAAAAAAAAATCTTAGAGAAAAGTGATTAATTATCACGCTTCATAGATTATATAGTACAAGGGAATATTAATGAAATTTTAATTTTGTAGTATTTAAAAAAAAAATGTAATTTATAATTATATAAGTTAATAATTGAGATAATGGATTGATTTATGATATTGAAGAAATTAATTGCGTGGTGGGTTGAAGAGGTTGGAATAGACAGCCTAGATTTCACAATAATTAGGCGTACCTAATTTATGGAATCTAAAGCTGTAAATTAAGCCATTTTTATAACAAAAAATTTATATAATTTATTTTTAATACCTCAAAAATATTAATTATAAACCTATGAACCACCTCCCTATTAAATTAATATCAATATAAAATTTAAATTTCTACTCGAGCAACTAATTTTTTGGATTTGAACGTGCGCAAACACTAATCCAAAAAATTTGGTGTTAATTTAATATTATAATATGTTAATTTTTTATGCTTTAAAACATTGTTTTGGACAAAATCATGACTTTATAATAATTGGATAGATCAAGATTTTGAAACAAAGATTTATTTTATTTTATTTATTTTATTTATTTAGGTTATCTTGTAGACGATATATATATATATATAGTCATCATTTCAAAAATTTAGAGAACTTTAAAATATTAAATTAGTTATTATTATTATTATTATTGTCTACTTGGTTGCATGATGAATTTAATTCAAATTTAAATCTCTTTTGCTAATTTCTTTTTTAAAAAATTATTAAATTTGCACATTTTGTTATTTATTCAATAATTGATTGCAATTAATCATAAAGGCTGAATAAGATATTAAGAAAAAAAAAACACTTTAAAAAGTAAAAATAGTCGTTTTAAACGTGGATGGAAATAAATAAAATTAAAATAGGCATTTTTTTAGTTAAAATAAATATTTATAATAAATATAAGTAAAATTAATAATTTAGTTTAATAATTAGAGTTGGAAGTTTTAGGAACCAATAAACATATAAGATATATAGAGATGATGATTTGAAAAAAAAAATGTATATATATATATATATATATATATATTAACAATCGTGATATATTCATGTTTGTTATATATGCACAAGTTAAAGGTTATTCTGTTCGAGTTCTTTAGAAAGAGTTGTCTCAGCTTCCAGTGTATTATGTACCTACCCATCTGTGTCGGTTTCGAGTATATACACATTCGAGCTTTTCTTGAGAGTACAACATGAGTTATTTTAGCGACAAAGTGCTTGGTACTTGAACATTGGCTCGAGATATTTTCTCTATCCCTTCTTATCCTGAAAAAAAAAATGGTACCTTGCGTCCTTAAACCGATAACTATTTTTCGACTAACCTAACCTCCTCTGTCTCTTGGAATTAATAAGGGGTAGTACAGAAATATTCATATAATTGGAGTAAAAATATTAATTATTTATTTTAAAAAGAATATGGTGAACAAAAAAAAAAGAAAAACAAATAAACGGTAACCGACAGAGGAAGCAGAGCAAGGCGCGGAAGGTGCGTGTAAAGGAGTATAAAGAGCTTGGAATTTGAAGCCAACGTAAAGTCCACGGCCCCACAAGATTCTCTACCCACCACCACCACCACCGCCATTACCAATTTTTCTTCAGCACAGTCTTCATTTTCATCTTCTTCCTCAACCCTCCGTTTCTCAATCCCTCTCTTTCTCTGCAGGGCCCCACTCTCACCAACCTCCACAACGTCAATTTCAAGGTATTTTCACTCTCCCTCGAATCGAATCGAATCGAATCGAATCGAATCGCAGTTCTTTCTCGCTTTTTTTTGAATTCTATCTGCGTACGTATCTTCAGCTTCCTTGTTCCAATTTCTTCAGTTTTCTAGTTGATTGTTCCTTGGTTTTTGGTCGGCGGTTCCGTCTAGTGAAGTTGTATGTATATCTGATTCCATCGTTGAATACGCCTTGTGCATCTAGTTTAATTTGTTCTTTCGATTAATTTGAATATGGTGTCTGATTGCTTTTTCGACCTTGAGCGTGATTTGAGGGCTTTGATGTTTGGTTAGTTGATGAATCGAGCAAATGATTTGAATCCGTGTTTTGCCGATTTAAGTTTTGGCGTCAATGCTCAACATTTCATCTTCTGATGGATGTGACTTTCGATCCTGGAAGGATCTTCTTCAACTTTTCTTTTCCCCACTGTTTTATAGTCAGTTTTCTTGTAGGACAATGTTTTTGTTTTGTTTAAACTGTCCAAAACCAGTTATAGAAACTTGGATTCAAGTAAAATATATTTTACTCGTGATTTTGTTTACAGGTGTCATTGTTTGAGCAATGCTTTTACTATAAAATTAACAAATTCGTAAGCTAAGATACATCGAATTTGATGTAATGTAAGTTCAAATTTTCAATTCTTCTTTGTGAAGATTGACTCTGGAGGATTTGGTAGGTTGGCCATTGTTGTCTCCTTTCCCTTCTGTTTGTCTGTATTTCCCAGATTCTCCATTTGGCCACTGATTTGATTTCTATTTTATTGAGATAATTTAGAAAGATTGATATGACGACATTTTCTTAATTTTACAGAAAGATCTCGTCGTTGTAACTCAATTCATCCATGCTTATCCAACGTTCTTAATCAAAATTAATCAGCGATCCTTTTTACTTTTGTATGATAAACATCAAGCTGTTTTTGATAAATTTCTGGAAAATGATAGTTGAAAATGGGAAGCAAGGCACCAAGCTGGGCTGATCAGTGGGGTTCAGGCAATTACGGAGTCGAAGACGACGATAAGATGGTGGCGAAGAAAGGGAGCGGCAATGGCAGTAGTAGCAAGAAGATGACAGAGGTAAAGGCAGCAGCCTCAGCTGGATTTGTGAAGGCGAAGGCTGTCGCAGCTGTAGGTGCTCAAAAAGTGAAATCTGGAACTTCAGTAGGCATCAAATGGGTCAAGAATCAGTACCAGAAAAAGGTCTCCAAATGACTCTACAAATTCATGTCTCTAAGCATTGACCATTTTTTCTTTAACTTTCTCTCAAACCCATCTTGTCATCTGATAATTATTTGGTTTCCTACATTTTGTCAAACTCATCAATCGATCTAAAAAAGTAGACAGATTTTTCAGTGAACCAGATTGACAAGTATCATGCCATAAATTCCCATTCTTTACAGCAGACTTTTGAATGACGAAAATGAGTCTACTCGTTTTTCATCAATTAAACTATACATAAAGCTTGCATTTGAAGGTACGAAACAGAGTCCGCTGATGGGGGAGGGAGTGTTATGGATCATGAACTTCTACGATGGTATGATATTGTCCACTTTGAATATAAATTTTCATGGTTTTGCTTTTGGTTTCTCCAAAAGGTCTCGTACTTATAAACTTATGATGGATCCTTTAATTAGCTGACGTGAGATTCCTCTCCCAACAATCCTTCCCTCGAACAAGAAGAGCAGATATTGATCCTTCCCTCTTCCCATCTTTTATACATGTTTGCTTAGGTCATGCATTTTCAGCACGCTCCGAACATTAGCAGATATTGTTCTCTTTGAACTTTCTCTATAAGGACTTCTCCTCAAGATTTTAAAACGCATCTCAAAAAAGATAATATGTACTAGCGGAGGGCTTGAACTGTTACAATAGCCCTCTTGAACTCAAGTGTGAGACACAAAAGAACGAGCAAGCGAGCACAATAGAAAGGAGCGGGCATCATTAAGGGACTCTCACTTCTTTGAAGCGAGCGCGTCTCGGTGGGCTTCTTAAAACACTGCCTTCTTTAATATCGGAACCCACACAGAAAGGAGAGGATTAAGGCTAAATATAAAAGACTAAACGCATCTTAATCATGGTTTAGCAAGTGATTAAACATCACAAATTTGTGTATTGGTCAAATGGGGTTGGCCCAGTTCATATCATTTGGGCTCTGCTCATCAGACATGTATAGCAACCGTGAAGATAAACAGCATGTGATTGAAATTGAAAAGTTTAGGGTATAAAAAGAAAAGAGAGGCTAAAGTTGGAGGGGTTTGTTAAGAGAATGAGAAAAAGGGTAAAGAAAAGGAGACATTTCTGGGTCTGGAGTCAATTCCAGATCCAGTTAGGAGTAGCAGGAATAAATTTGGCAACAACCTTCCAATGAAAAGGAGAACCCTCCATTAATGGCGTTAGCTACAATGGCTTAAACCACACGTTAGCTACAAAAGAAAAACAGAGCGGGTGGTGTTGAAAGTTGTAGGAACCAAAGAGAGTAAAAGAAAGATTCTGTGTTGTTTGTTTGCTTAATGAGCATTGCATTAATGGTGAATGAACAGAGCCAAACCAGACATCCCTTAGCCTCTCCGTTTCCCCCTCTGCCCATCATTTATAAATGCCTTCATTCAATGCTCTCTCTCTCTCTCTCTCTCTCTCTCTGTGTGTGGCCCTCTTCTTCTTCTTTAATTAATATTCCAACCTCCTTCCTTGTTGGGTTGTTTGAGACTTTAATGCTTCTTCGTTAATGCACTCACTCACCCATTTGGATCTTCCCTTTGCCTTCTTAAACATTTCCTCTGTTTCTCTCACTTAGAATCTCTCTCTCTCTCTCTCTCTCTCTCTCTCTCTCTCTCTCTAGAAAAAGGAAGGCAGTGTCTCTTTGTGTTGTTACTGAGACATTGTGGTCTGCAGGAGACAAACTTTTCCAGGTGGAATTTCACTGTCTCTGTCTACTCAGAATCCCCATGGTTCTTGGGTAAGTTTCCATGGATCAAAAGGTAAGCGTGGTGTGGTGTGGTGGGATTTTTTAGAACGAGATGTTGGTTCGGTTCAATAAGAAAGCAGTGCTCTGCTTAACTTGTGTTCTACTTTTTTATTGAGCCGTGCCAATATCACGTGTCGTAATTTTGCTTATAATTTATATGGTTTATAATAACATTGTCATGGTTAGTTTTTGTTTGGGAGAGTGACATGAAATGGACATTGTTTTGTCAGTGTTTGAATGTCTGAAAGTCTCAAGATCTTGTCGTTGTGGTTGCTTTGCCTGAAAGGTTAAGAAGCTGAAAGACAACGATTCTGAGTTTTAGCATGTTGTTTTGTGTTGTCTTCTCTTCTTTCAGATTTCTGCTACCAATTTTGGTTCCACCATTCTGCCTTGAGCTGGCAATGCAGAGAACCAGAGCAGAATGTAATCTACTATTTACCTGTGCGGAGAATTTCCTTTTTATGGCAAAGCTTATCTTTTTTTTTTTTGCCTTTCATGGTTTATCATTTTTTTGTTGAGTCGAACAAAACATTCTTTATAAGGGTATACAACTTCTTTTGAGTAGACACATTTCAAAACTATAAAACTGACAACGATACGTAACTGACAAAAATAGACAATATCTACTCATAGTAGATGGGTCTGGACTGATATAGTTTATAATTCTTCTCCCCCTTTCAAAACTAGTTAGAATAAGCAAATTTTCGAAACGAATAAGACACTGATGCTTGACTACCTTTTAAGTCGTGATCGTTTGGTTGTTTTTATTATCACGTCTTCATGACAATAGGGAATTATTAACTTACAAATTGGCCCTCATAGCCACAAAGAATTTGTGTACTTTTATGTTTCAGCTGCTGATTTAGCCAGCCCTCAGAAAAAATGGAGGTGGCTAGTGCAGCGCTCTCTCTCTCTCTCAATCAGTTATTTTAAGTCTCTGGGTTCGTACAAGATTAGCAAGCTTTCTAGTACAGACAACAGCTCCCAAGTAGCATTTCAGAAAGTGGCACTCCATAGTACATTCTCGCCTTCTCCGCACCGTCGATGGACTTCCTTAATCCTCTCTGCAGACTTGCAAATTCCGCTGCAACTCCAATCGAACGAAGCAACGCAAATGTTTCCTGCCTGAGCCTTCCACTCGCAATCTGCACAAGAAGTTTGTGTGAGATCACACATCGGTTGAAGAGGGAAAAGAAACATTCTTTATAAGGGTATGGAAACCTCTTCTTATTTGACGCGTTTTAAAACCTTGATGGAAAACCTGAAAGGAAAAGCCTAAAGAGTATAATATTTGCTAGCGGTGGAGTTGGACTGTTACTTGGTTGACTTAATGATACCTTCACATCAACAGATGGCAGGTAGAGTTTGATTCTAAATCAGCAGTCTTAGTGACAGGCCAACTGCATACCAAACTTCATCAGCCATTTGAACTGGTTTTTCAATAATACGATCCCGAAGGAAATTCTTATTAGCTGGTTAATGTAACCTTGATTTTTTGTCAATATTTGCGGCTCTAATTCTATTCAATTCTATTATGATTATGGTATGCAGTATCTTTCTAAGTGGGAAAGAAAGGATAGAAAGAAGCTGAGGGCCAACAAACACTGGATTTGACTTCTGAACCAATATTCTCAGCAAAATGGTTAGTAGGGTACCAAATTAGACCTCACTGAAAGTTGTCTTCCATGGACAAGTTCGTTGTTCTCGCACGTCGTTAAAAAAAATTGTGGGAAAACATTACCTGGTGGAGTGCCACAGCAGAGTCTCCGATCATCGATATGCTCGACATCGAGTCCAATAAACCAGGATCCCAAGGAGACATCCTCGTTAGCATACTTGTGTAGAAGATGTCTGAGATAAGGTAAAATAGACGAGCATTTGTGAAAATACATAAACGTAGAAAGCCAAAGACCATCTCTCAAATACATGAAGTGTAGAAGATTACTGGTTTATTGAAATGTAAGAAGCCAACTCCTTTGAGATGGCATATAGTTGTCCAGTCGCATGACGAAAATACTTGTTTCCAGCTTCTCCGAATTTCCAATATTCAGGCTCATGGTATCTCACTCCCCTGAATGATAGTTGATTAAGTTTTAGCTCAACATTGATCATAAAGGGAGAAGCAAAAGGAGAACGTATCTCACCTCTGTGAAAGCACAGGGCCAGATTTCATGCATCCGATGTATACTCGTGGCTTCGTTCGATGTCTGACTAATGTTTCACCGAGCGTTCCTGAGCCAAAGGATCGAAATGCATCAAGGAAACTTGATTTCCATTCCTTTATATTCTACATTGCGTTCAGAATTAGCAAACCAATATTAACATGTTCAGAATTAGCATACCAATATTAACATGAACATCATCATCGACTTTCACGTAAAAGTCTGCATCCCATAAAGCAACAGCTGTCGCAAAGTATATTTTAGTTTTTGCTGATAATTCGAGGTAACCTTCGACGTGGTCCTGCTCACGAATGACGTAAATAAGTGTAACATAATCATCACTCTATTATAACTTTAAACACGAGGAATTCAAGAAACTTTGGAAGATAGGTACAATACATTACCAGCCTAAGGAGATCTCCATGCTTTTTATCTTCTGCTTCAACAGCTCTGTCAAGAATACCTCCTGAAGTGACACTATATAAAAGAAGGGGAACTTTCTCAATAAGCAAAAGAGTCTCAGCAACTCAAAGGCATAATGTTACGTAGATCAGAGAATAAACTCGGGTTGTTCACAAGTCTTGACTTCCATTAAAAGAAACTAAGTAGTCTAAACTCAATTAAGAAAGAAAATGCGTGCTAAGTGTCAATTCTGGTGAGATCCCACGTTCATTAGAGAAAGAAACGAAACATTCCTTATAAGAATGTGAAAACCTCTTCCTAACAAACGCGTTTTAAAACCGTGAGATTGACAGCGATACGTAACGGGCTAAAGAGGACAATATCTACTAGCAGTGGGCTTGGACTCTTACAAATGATATTAAAGTCAAACACCGGGCGGTGTACCAATGAGGACTCTGGGTCCCCAAGAGAGGTAGATTGTGAGATGCCACATCGGTTGAAGAGGGGAACAAAACATTCTTTATAAGTGTGTGAAAACCTCTTCCTACCGGTGTAACAATGAGGACTCTGGGTCCTCAAGGGAGGTGGATTGTGAGATGCCACATCGGTTGAAGAGGGGAACAAAACATTCTTTATAAGTGTGTGAAAACCTCTTACTAATAGATGCGTTTCAAAACTGTGAGGCTGACAGCGATACGTAATGGGATAAAGCAGACAATATCTAGTAGCGGTGGCTTGCGCTGTTACTCTTCTTAAACAATCTTTTACAGCAAATCAATATTCAGAATAAAGGTACTCAGCTATGGTAATTTCCTTGAGAAGAAGGTAAAGTATTTAAACGAATGAAGCATACTTAAGCATGCCATTATTCAGTGCCACCTAATTTGAACTTGACATCTAAGGGAATTTGAGGAGGATAGGAAAGCGACCTGTGGCCAATGACAAAGCGAACAATGATGCCCTTTTCTTCTTCCAACTTCCTTCTTTTTTCACCTTTTTTTTTTTTTTTGACAAAATGCAAGAACAGAAGCAACAATTCAATGAAAGTAATATGAATGGTATGAGATCAACTAAAATGAGAAAACAGATTAACATAATCAGAACGAATAATCCGCACCTTGAGGCATCCAGGTAGCCCGAACAGAATCTCTTCTTTTCCTGCTGCTAAAGGCAGTATTGATTCCTACAACCATTAAATACTTTCTTCTTCCAGATCTATCTATTTGCTTTGAATCTTCTGATAAAGGAGAACCGCTTTGGATCGATTCGTGTACCGACTTCGCAGCAGCTAATTCCATCTCTAAGTTAGAAATTGTCTTATCTAATGTGCTGCATTAGAACACCTTGTGGGTTAGTCATAGTTAAAGTGCATTCAGTCCAACAAAATAACATAATCACTTACTGTATAGCATCACGAGTCTTGAAAACCTTGCCAAAAATGTCTTTGGATGAAAAATTGACTTCCTGCTGCTGTAACTACAGAAATCCAGAGAAGAATTCAATGTGGATGCCAAAGAAATTACATTAGCAGGTTCATTATAGCACTGGAGAAGTAAGAGAAATTTGGTGATGCATACAGATTTGAGGCCACACCCCTCTGAAGCTAATTTCAATTCTTCAGCTTCCACCGACGTTGTTCGTGCCATACCTTTATGTTCAGGAATGGTCCACATTCTGCAAGAAATTCCATCTTCCTCAAAACAATTAGATTTGGTAATCAGCCAAGTTTCAGGGGGGGAGAAAGTTCTTGGTACTCAATGATTTCATTGAACACAGACACAGGAGCTTCCAGAAGTACTAGAAATACAGTGATAATAGCAAACATTGTCTAGAAATTGCTAGTAATAGTAAATCCTAAGCTATTGAATCACAGAAGGAAAGAGGAAAAAGAAGAAAACATGAGACCAACCAAACTTCCATTCATTATTAGGAGAGAGAAACCAAAAGAAAAAGAAGAGAACAAAATTTCCATAGATGCTCCCTTTTGGATCATCCGAGTAAAGTAGTCATAAAAAGAAGATAAATATTCCCAAATATCATGATCGAGAGGGGTAGGCTTTTTGTTTTCCCCAAAATCGGAGAGAAAATGAACTTAGAACAACTTAAAATATCAACACACATCAATAACAATCCCAGAATCGAAAATTAACCACGAAATCAAGAAGGAAAAAGAAGAACAGAAACAGGAATTCGAAGTAAATAATCCGAGTCGCAAACCTATTAGTGAAGAGCATTCCAGAGAAAAAGCTCCCGAAGCAAAGGAACAGAGTCCATTTCTGAGTTACAACACTCGTTGAAGAATGATGATCGGCCTTGCTTTTCCAAGACATTTTTTCCTCCAAGAGAAGAAGCAAAAGAAATCAAGCGAAGAAAAGCGCCAAATGGTTGTAGTTTCTGCGAGCAAAAGGAATTTGAAACAGAGATAGAGAAGAAGGGTTAAGTATCAGAAATCAGAATAAAGGCACTCCCCTTGTTTATCTTTCTCTCTACTCCTAATTTGTTCGTTTCTTCGTCACTGAGCTTTGCCTCTCTCTCTCTCTCTCTCTCTCTGAACACTGTATTTGCAGAGACTGCAAGTTGAAGTGAACAGAGGAGAGGTAAGAGAGAAGACTGCCATGCCGTCATCTTTCTCGATACTACCAAATTACCAAACTGTCCTCACTCTTGAGTTTATTATACACCTTATTTTTTTAATCAAAATTAAAAAAATTTAATTACCAATTTATGTCGACTTTTAAATTTAATTTGATGGGTATAAAATTAAAAATTAGAATTACTAATGACGCTTTTCTTGTTATACCCCTGTCACTTTTGGCCATACTGGCTTACATGATAAGGGCATGATTGCCATTGTACCAATAAAAATTAATAAGAATGGCTACCCAGCCAATGGGGCATGGAGAATTTATTTCTTCTCATAAGCAAATATATGTTGGGACAATTTTGCCCAAGATGGCATTAATGCTTATTTATTTATAAATCCACAATTTCACAATCTACTAGACATGACCTAAAATAGTAATTTAACTTAAAAATCAAGTAAAATAATCTACCTTTTCCGTACAAGAGGAAGCGACGCGCGTTTGAACTCACCTCTCCTCGGTAACCAACGTATCGTGGTCATTTCCCGCCAAAATGAAGGAATTTTGGATGCATATTATTTAGTTTAACATTTCGAATTAATTTCGCATCACACATTATATAAAACCGTTCTCTTCTCCTTCTCTGTTCGTTCGATCACTCTCCCTCTCTTTCTCTACCAGTCCGCCTAATTCTAGAAAGCCACCATGAGAGCTCTGAAGAACGCCGTTGTCACTCACAAGAAGCCTAACGCAGAGTAATCCTCTTCTTCTTGCTGATTTGATCTTCTTGTTTTAGTTTTTTTTTTTTTTTTTTTTCTTTGTCTTGAATAAGTTTTCACATTCTTTGTATATGTTTCTTATCTTCTCCTGTACGATTAGTTTCTTTGATTCTGCAAGCTCTCCTCAGTTGCGATGTTGTACTCTCTGTCTCTGTATATTTGTGTTCTTGTGCTTTCTAGGTAATGTACGTCCATTTTTTTTTTCTACTATTTTGTAATGTTTTGCCTCTTTGTATATTTGTAATTGAGATGAACTTCACCGCATGCGTTTGTTTCTAAATCAGTTTTGTTAGTTTTGTTTTCCTACACGAGGCTTCTTCACTTCTTTGAACCTCAACTATTCCACTGATATTATTTCCTTATTCTGCTCTCAATCGTTGTTTCGGAATTAAATCAAATAACTGTTGTAACTCTTGTATTTTCCGTACGATTTGGCTCATTTGAATGTGCTCCTGAAGTTTTTATGCAACTTGCCATCTCCTTTTCATGATGTGTGATTTTATTACTGATATACTGTCCGAAGGATGCTGAAAAAGAGGAAAGCTGAGATGAAATCCACGAAAAGCAACAAAGCCATGAAGAAAGACCAGAATGCTCCTAAACGTCCAGCCACAGCGTTCTTCATTTTCATGTAAGTATAATTTATAATTTGGCTCTAGTGTTAGATAGAATCTGCTTTATTTTAAAACCTTTCTTTACACTCTAGCTTGCATTATATTTATTCGTTCTGATTTCGATTTCTTGTTTTGGCAAATGATAGGGAGGAATTTAGAAAGACGTTCAAGGAGAAGTTTCCTGATGCAAAAGCTGGTCCAGCTGTGAGATTTAATACTCTTGTTTTAATCAGCATACCTTTCTATTTATTCCTCCACTTTTATTTAAATACGACCGAGTGGATGATCAGAAGACTTGTCGAGTACTTAGCCAGATTTGTGGCTATCTGTGTTTCGTTATTTTGCAGGTTGGTAAAGCTGGCGGTGAGAAATGGAAATCAATGTCTGATGCTGTAAGATTATGATCACTTATTTTTGGACTATTTCATAGAAAATTAGTTCGTGACTAAACAGTTATTAGTGAGTAACTTTAAGAATAAATGATTTTGTAATAAGATTGGAAGCTAATTGTTGTACTTTAGTTAAAAGATTGTTAACGTTTTACACTACGTGTTTGCTTCGCTAGTCATCAGAATTATTAACGATACAAGTTTGTGGTACTTGTTTTTCTTCCTCAGGAAAAAGCTCCTTACGCTGAAAAATCTTTGGGACGGAAGGCAGAGTACGAGATAGCTCTTGAAGTGTACAAGAAGAAACTCGTAACTCTATTCTCTTCTCTCATTTCGTTCCTTCGGCTTCACTTTGTCTGAACATCACCTGGTTTCATTTATTATCTGTTTGTCCCTATCTCTCTTCTCTAAGATCTCATGGTTTTCAGAATTGCTCTGTGGCCGCTGAAGCTGAAGTTGAATTGTCAACAGAATCACAGAAATCAACCTCTGATGTCCGTGATGACGCAGAGCAAGAAGCTAGCTCTAGCTCTTAGGTATTTTTTTTCCTATCTAAAGTTGTCATACACAAATGCACATGCATGCTAAAGCACAGGCGTGTGCCATATCATCTTCCCTTTGTTCTTCTAGATGTTGATTTTGTCTTATACCGTTGCAAGCAGCTGATATTTGGCTTCCTACATCATCCGCCAAGATTTGCAGAACTTCAGGACCCTTGGAGGTAACAGAATTTCATATATTTTTAAATAAAAGTTGCATGATTGTAGACAAGAAGCTAGCAAGTGCAAAGAGAGTCGAGAGGAAGCTAGAAGAAATTGCACAACTCTTTTAACAATTTTAGAACAAAATTAGGATTTTCCTTGGATGCAGTTGTATATTCTGCGTACTTCTCTGCTTTGGTGGTGAACTGAATGTTTCACTTCTCTCTGGTTAACAAGGGTGCATTCCGGAAGATTGGAGTAGATCGACTTTGATAAGAAATTTAGAAAATATAAGGATTTGAAACTTATCAAAACAATAGATAAAATCCAACTTTCACATTAATTTTTTTAATTCTTTTTTTAAAAAAACATTTGTATTTTTAGTTATTTTTTTAAACATTATATACATAACACTATATTTAAATTTTGAAAAACTTGAATTTTAAAAATATATATAAAAAGCAGGCAACAATAACGTGTTTACAACTTTTAATTTTAAAACAAAAAATCAACGACTAGTTTGCTATCAAATATGTCTCCAAGAATTTCTTACTAACCATCATTTAATTTTGAACCAACAAGTCAGAGATGCATAATTTTCTTACCAAGAGAAAAAGGAGAGAACATACTACTAATAATAATCATTATATTATTATTATTGAAAAAGAGTTTAGTGATTGTCGGCTTATTACTATTAATCCATGAACAAATATTGTTCTATCAAATATTAATATAAAGCCTCGACAGCAAAAACAATCGAAGTCAAACCCTTATCCCACTTGTACAAATGGATCGTTTTTTTTTAAATAATAGGCAAAATTTGGAACCTTTGTTAAATTTAAAAAAAAAAAAAAACAATTCTTTTTAATATATCTCAGTTGATTATACTATACAATCTAACATATTCTTCTGCTATTTGGATAAATTATATATAAGAAAGAAAGAAAAAAGATTCCCCTTCTCAAATCTCGAATCTCAAGTACACCTGTTAATAAATCTTTATTCTATATTTTTGTCTAAAACAATTAATTTGTCACTTTCTTCTCCTACAATACAGCTGGAACCATTTTAAAATTTTGAATTTCTATTAAGTTCGCAGGTTTAAACCAAGATATCAGTAATAAATCAATATTTGAAAAAAAATATATTAGTTATGAAATATATATTTATATTTGTTAATATTTTTACCAATAATTTGATTAGTAATATATTTTATTTTATTCCGAATTTATATTTTCTTTATTGGTAAGTATTAGTTAGTAATTTGTTTAAACTTGTGAATAGCAATAAATATGGAACTTTCCATCCCAATTTTATTTCTAGTTTTTTTTTCAAATCTATCTCCAATCTCAATCTCGGTAAAGTTGAACAGTTCGACTACCCAACCCACAATCTCAATTTGGGTAAAGTTTAAGAGTTAACTACCCAACCTGTTGCAACAATTTTGGTGTTTTAAAGATGGGTGAGAATAAGATTACAAGTTCATGTTTTAAAATGTAATTATCCCACCTATTTAAGGGTAATTAAATAAATTAGGAAAAATTACGAAAATTCGGTTCAGCATTTTCTTCCTTCTTGTTATGGTTCTCTCTTATAAATTACGAAAATTGCTGTATGGTATTGTATCATCACCACGTGTTATTACAGAAATTTATGGATCTTCCTCATCCAATCAGAAATTGCAGTTGAAAACAATGCAAATGGTCCTCCCTCCCCTCCCTCCTATGAAGGTACCACTGTTGTTAGTCGTTATGCGTTTCTTCAAGTGTTTGTGATGCGTACTTCTTTGACTCACTGTGAAGTTCCGTTTTCAAAGTAGATTATAATGCTGAATTTGTAATTCAATATGATATGTTCTTTCAGTTTGATTCAGTGATTGGAGTGTGGTTCGATGGCTCTCGAGGAAAGAAACCTTGCGGTTCAGTGATTCTTTGCTTCGACGAACAGATGAGGAAGAGGAGAGAAATTTTGTGTTTATTTTCTGTGAACTTGCAGTTGTTTAGTCTGTTCTGTAACAGTGGTGATTCGGTGGACTTTGTCGGAGAACTGCTCGGAGTTGTAAGCATCGATTAACAATGATTGGTGGGATCATCGGCGGAACCAGCACCACGTTGTTAAACAGGTTTTGGGCGTCAATCGGATACGTGCATTAATGGGCAACAGTAAGTTTCTTTTATCAATCCTTAGAGCTTTTTGGTTATGGAAGTCAATTTTTCTTCTCTTTTACGTTCTTTGGTTTTGCGTTTGTTTAGGATGATATGTTTTTCTGGAAAGTAAACCAATGGCTTCGTTTTGTTTTATCATTAATAATATAGGATTTGAATGAGTTCCTCGACAAGATGTGCTCAATCCCCCTTGACTTGTTTTCCTTGTCTTCCTCTGTACTTATTATTGTCCTGTTTACTATAGATGATTTTAATGAAATAGCCCGATTGTGTTAGGAACCACTATCCCCTATCGTAGTATAATATTGTCCACTTTGAGTATAAGCTTTCGGGGCTTTATTTTTTGTTTTCTCCAAAGGCCTGGTACCAATAAAAATGTATTCTTTACTTATAAACTCATGATCAACCTCTTTATTAGTCGATGTGGGACACCCCTCCTA